GGGGTGGGGGGGGGGGAAAAAAAAAAAAAGAACTTGAGTATGAAAATAAACACCAAGAGAAAGGCTCATACCAAACCATTTAGTTATAAAAACATTTTAATGCAGTACAAACACTGCAACAGATCTAAACAATTCTGCATCTCTCCATTTGCTTATGATATTGAATGGCAGATGTTGAACTGTATGAAAAACAAGAAAGAATTCTTCATTTTCTATGTAGTTTATTAAACAGGTTAGAGCCAGATCAACACCATCTCCACCTAGGTCTTCCCAGAATAATTTAGTCTCTCTGTAGGAAGAGAAAACAAAATAAGTCAGTCCCAAAAATTATCCAAGAAACAGGATATAGTCATTCACACTTTACACTGGGTAAGAGACAGAGGACCTATCTTCCATGTAAAAGGAGAGGTGCAGTTTAATCGACATCATTATGTACAGCTTAAGCCATAACGTGCGCCAAAGTAGAACACAGGAGACAGCATAATTAGCCAGAGTATAAAGCATCAGAAAGCAGTTTGTGACAAACACGCACTCAGAACACCAGACATTCAGCATAGTCAAACGTTTAAAAACAAACAAAAACAAAAAGTTACCTGTAAGATCTATTTATCGGCTCACTGAAACAGGAAATGAAAAAAAAAAAAAAAAAAGTCAGTAATCCTTTAAATAACAGACTTGAGCAAAATTTTTCAGGTCATGATGCCCTATAAAATCTGCATGGATTTGCATTTGCTAAATAAATAATGAAATCAGTTAGAATTGTGAGGACTCCTCATCCACTATAAAGGGCACTGCTGGGCTTCATGCTTGTTTTAAGTAATGCTCTTAAAAAAGGAAGAGGACTGTTTGCCTGGAAACTTAGGGCCAACTACAAGCTTCTTAAGAAACCTGCAGCAATTAACAAGACTTTTGATCCTTTGTTACCTATGAATTTTTACAAAGGAATTACTACACTCCCCCCAAGGTGTCTCAAACTTTATGTTACCGCAACCCCAAGTGCTGGATAGTGGCAGCAGGGGATGGGGAGCTCACATGGCAGCCGCCACCATCCACCACTCTGTGCCATTGCTGCCCCGCACTTCTGTAGTACCCCCTGGGAAGTCTGCAGCCCCCTTTTAAAGCTGCTTACAACCCCCACCAGGGGTTGCAACCAACAGTTTGAGCGCCCTTGACATACACAGTTGGGTATTGCCAGCAGCCTATTTGCACATGTAGTTATAAAAATAAGAAACTCAGGCATTTTTCAACACAATTCTCTCAGACGCAAGCTTTGGGTGTAGTTGGATTTAAATTTATTTTGGCAGAGACACAGGTATATACCTAAAGCAAAGGAGTACTCATGGAACATTGTTCCATGAATAGATGCTATTACCACTTTGGCTTAATAGAAAACATTCATGAACAGTCAGCTTAGTATAGTATAACTCTGATTCTTCAGAAACTGTTCACCACCCACTTAGTTCAGTGCATTGCTGAAATAAACAAGCAGATCAGCTGTTTATTGCAACTCTTGCTTCAAAAGGTCACTTTTCCAGTCAAATGAAAACACCGAAGTAGCCTTGCACAGCTAATTAGAAAAAGCTTTGCCCTTTGTAATAAAAGCTAGAACACTTCAACTATATAACCCCGACCAGTTGACAAACTTTCACAAGGAAAGTAAGCCTGCAAAGTGGCTGTAACATTTGTACAAAACTAACAACAATTTTAAAATAAAGCCATTTTGTGTAGAGTGACAATAAGCAGCAGCAAGGAACACTGATGGAGGCACTATGCAACATAGCTTCTCTATATAGCCATAAATAATGGCTAAGTGGTCCAGTAAGCAAAATGATCTTTGTACATGAAATTAATTTATTTACAAGCTTACTCTCTAACACACCCTCAGATTATGTGGGAAGCAAAGACTCAAAAAGAGAAGGCTGTCCTAAACAAACTAACTATATCTATCACTGACCAACTATCAGCACATCTTAATCCTTCATAGGCAACAATCCACTCCATCAGACCAATTTGTTCAGAAAGGTCTGTCAGGCAGAAAGCACTGTGGAGTGCCACCTTGGAGAATAACATGAATATTAAACTTCTCTAGGTTCACCACAGCAAGGATTCAATGTGCACCAGTTAAAAGAATAAGCGCTGCTTGTATACACACACCTGCTGGAGTCTACGCCAGCGCAACTATAGGAAACAAAGGTCTAATATACAGATTCCTAGTGAATACAAGGCATTACAGTGGCTAAAAATAGAAGTCAACCTCTTGTTTACAGTTCAAGCAACTGATGGTAAAATAAAATGGTTCAGACCACATAACTAGGCAGTTAGGGAAGGTAAAATTAAGGCACCTGAAATTATTTAAGCTCCAATACAACACATTTCAGGATTAATGAACCTCAATTCTTTTTGCGTTAAAGAAAGTGATGGAACTTAGTTGAATGTCAGGTATTAAATGGTAAGCAAAACTTAAATCCAAGGTAGTTTTTCTTAATTAACAGTATACCCTAGATTCATTTTTTTGTAGGTGAGCAATCTGATTTGCCTCTTCCTACTCCCATCTATCAAAAAAAAAAATATATCACACCTACTTATGCAACAAACCTTCTTCAAAGTTATTCTTTGAATCATAACCTCCCAAGTGTAAGCAGTTAATAATACTCCCAGGCACCCATTTCAAACAGAAGTTTTTAAGTTCAGGCTTGAAAGGCTTTCTACAGGGATAAGAAAGTAGCAATAACCCAACTGAAAGGATCAAGTAAAGAGGCATCATCATGCATCATGTACATTAGACAGAATGTCTCTCCTCCCATAGTGGGTACATAATAACAGCAGAGATTGGGATCAGGTCATTACATACCATAAGTAACACCAAAAAGTTTTGTGCATTTATTTTAATAAAAGCAATCCATGTAGATTTTCACTGTTCCAGGAAACGAGAGAAAAAGTTTTCAAGCACTGCCACTGGTCGTTTTTAAAAAAAACTCTAATCAACTTCAAATGGAATAAGAGTCAAGAGAATACTTCCTTCCCTTTCAAAATTACATTGCTTATAGTTAAGGTTAGGATAGTATACCTGGTTAGCTGTCAAAAATCCTTCCCTTGTACCATTTCCATCCCATTTACATTGAGATCTCTCAAAGTACAAGTAAAATACCTGCCTCATTTTTAAAAAAATTAATAAAATACACAGCAATATTAAAAATATCCAAATATTAATAATGAAGAGTAAAAAAAGATGCAAAAAACAGCTTAGCTTTAAAATGGAAGCATCATATACATAGTATTGTTTTTAGTTAACTGCCTCCATTTACGGAAAATAAACTGTTTATATGATGAAGCTGTTGGCAATGGAACAAAAAAAGGTGGCTTCTGCTTAACTGCTGACAAGGCATACACAGCAATACATTGTATTTTAGGCTTCTACAGGATAAAAAAATAAAGTTAAGGATTATTTTGTGTCAGTATCTTATGTTATTCCAGGTCCATCTCATATGCATGAAACCACTACTTGAGTTTTCCTGAAAATACAGTATGCTCATAACAAAGTGCAAGTTACACATGCAACCGCACTTTGGGTCCCTACTTCTGAACTCATGCCTCCAAAAAAGTGCATTTTTAAAAAAGTCCTGACCTCTTTCACACTAGTTATTTTATTTCTACACAACAATTTAGCAGGTGGATCTACAAAAGACTTGTATTTTTATGGTAAAGAGAGCCCAGATCTTACTTCAGAGCAAAATTTAAATCATAGTCTCCCTCGGGTTTCATGGAACAGTTTTGTACATGTAGCAGAATGCAGTACAATAAAGTGGCAAAAAGAGAGTTCAGAGCAAGAACGGAGGCATGCAAAGCAACAGTGTTTCTATTAAAAGCATCTCCAGTGTTTAAGTGATGCATAGCTCAGTCACCACATTCATGCTCATTCTCAGTACCTGCTAGACACTTCATTTCTGATGAAGAATTCCAAGAAAGTAGGAAAGAAAAGAGGTGAAAGTAAAGGTTACTAGGATTCAAGAGGTATTAGATCATTTAAGACATAAGCAACTACAAAGCTGTTAAATTTGAACACTTGCACATAACCCACAGTACTATGCAGTACTGAAGAATTGTTGACCTCTTTTGGACCTCAAAAAAAATCCCTTAACTGTGGCATTTGATTTTTTCAGATATATGATCCAAGGAAGAACAGAGTTTTTCTTTGTTCCTGAGATTGTCCCAGCCCACTTTCCAGGTTTGACATCCAACTTGCTTTCCATCTGAGGAGTTAACCCTATTCTTGTTGAACTGTACTATCACTTCTTTCACTCAACAGCATGGAAACATCTTGCCTTCCTTCAGCATTCACTTTTAGAGTGCACTACACCATGGCACCCTAACTCCAAGCTTAGAATTCCAAATTCCAAAAAGCTACAATTTTTGACCATTCAGAAGGTGTAAAGAACAAGTTTGAAGTTGCAAGGAGAACAAAGGTTATGCTCTAGTTAACCAAGAATTTCAGTGATGCAAAATGACACCTCAGTTGCTCTGGATTGCAGCAGAACAAAACAATTTTAAAATTTCAAAATCCATAGAATGAGAAACTGAAGCAAAACTGAACATGCTGTAAGTTAAAACTTCACTTCATACTAGATAAGGAGCAGTCAAAGGTGAGCAAACTACACTACTGCAGAGCTAAAAACTATACAGCACCATATGTATTACCTTCTATTATCCAGTAGAAAAAGGTAAAAAATGAAAAAAAAAAAAAAAAAAAAAGATTACTTGGACAAAAGAGACTTCAAACAAATTTGAAAGCCACTATCTAGTGTCTGGTCCCTGGAAAAAACTTTCATCCTACCTTCTTGCCAGCACCAACATTTGCTTTGGCTGTGCCCCTGACTTTCTTCATTCTGTTTTTACGCTCCTTTCGCTGTTTCCTGGAAGTCTTCTTCTTTTCATACAAGCCATGCTAGTAAAAGAATTAATAAAAATTATTTAAGTATACTAATATCAAGTACTTTTAGTGCTACTTATAATTTTCTGGATCTGCAATGTTTATATAACAACATTACTTAGAACTTACAAAATTTAACTTTAACTTCCCTATCAAAAAATTGATACCTGAAATAAACTCCAGGGATTAAAGGAAAAAAAAATTCTGGCTTTGAGCCAAACCATTCAAGTCAAATGCATATTCTTGTGGTCCTAACAACACACCAAAATGATCAGTTATTACTAAAATGTACTGCTCAGTGACAGGACATTAAGACCTTTGTACACCCTGTACTTGTAATTTTACTGTTGACAGAATGTTAAGAGACCCACATAACTTAAGTCTTGGATTGTAATTGCACACATGATCTGTTTAATGTCAAGAGTAAGTGTCACAGCAGTATTCTAAAAAAACAAAAACAAATAGGAAACCTACCCTGGCCAATCTGTGCTTTGGTTCATTCTTCTTTGCATAGTCCAGGGAATCATAGATCATGCCAAAGCCTGTTGTCTTGCCACCACCAAAATGTGTTCTGAAGCCAAAGACAAATATTACATCTGGGGTCGTCTTATACATTTTTGCCAGCTTCTCCCTGATTTCTGTTTTGGGGACAGTAGCCTTCCCAGGATGAAGAACATCAATAACCTAAGGAAAAATTGTATTAAGTAGTATTCAGATACTGAAAACATCACAACCTTTTCTTAACCAGTACAATCTTGTCAGATTTTAGAGAAGAATGATTGTATTTGATGTACCATAGCTGGAAGCCAAAAGTTTTAATGAAGATGAGAAGCCTTTCTGAAAAAGCTCAAAAGAAAAGCTCTTGAATAAAAATGTTGTTCTATCCAATTTCAATCATTGAAGAGAATGGCTGGAAGGGACCTCAAGAGGTCATCAGGTCCAAATACCTGCTCAAGGTAGGGTCATCTCTATTTAAAACAGGGGTAGCCAACATGTGGCAGGGGAAATGTGTGGCATGTGGTAGATCATGGAGGGGAGAAGCAGCAGAGTCGAATATATGGCAGGAAACAGAAAGGAGAACAGAAGAGTGGTCAGTGGATGGGGACTGGAGTGTTACCTGAAGTGAGTGCAGGACTCATCTGTGGCCATGCCTGCCAAAAAGTTTGGCCCCCACTTATCTAAGCCACCCTGAACAGTGTGTAGGGTGGCTACACACTAAAAACTCCAGGAACAGCCCTCAGACATAACCATGAGGCACAATGCCCAAAACATTAAAACGCAGCCTTTAACTTGCCACAGAAAAAGGAGAGATTAAGGGCACTGTCCGTGTCCTGTTCATGAGAGAACAAGTAGTTTGTTAAAACTATACTCAAGAGATCCAACTGTACCTTTTACCTCCAGTACTACATCACTAAAATGGCTGTAAAACTTTAAAACTGTCTAATGGAAGCCTTCTGTTTAAAAATAAGATACCACCAACTTTAACTGAGGAGGCAGAACCCAATTCATTTTAATTTTGGATACATCCATTAATAAAGCTTTTTTAATAGCTATGTTGAAATCTGTTCCTGACAAGTTAATTGATCTTATTATGGTCAAGAGTTTGTGAACTTTCGGGAGCAATAACCTTCCTGGCTACTATGCAAGCACCTAGATCAAGTTTATCAGTATTTCTAAAGAAATGGCCAAGTGGACAAATACTTTCTTAAGTAGGTAGCAAAGTGCCATTCATCTTTTTGAGCCCCCTTACCAAGATATTCAAACTCAAGCATCATCTACTCCAATGAGAACCAATGAGTGTCCTTTCCTTCCCCAAGCTCTCACAGGAACACCACTCCACATTTTCTTTCCACATCACTTGTGGCATCTGACCACCTCAAAGTACAAAGGATTAGGTGTCTGCTCAAGGGAAATGTGTATACGCCTACACTTAGGGCTGACTGGTCTTTAAGATAATTCTTAGCAATATGTTGTTATTAAAAAGAGCAAGATAAAAACTTCTCAAGATTACTGCTGCAACAAGTAAGAAGAAAGCTACTCCACGTTAGCCAAGATTGATAATCTTATCCCTATCTTTCCTGCCTTCAGCCATCCTAAAAGGTGACAACTTTTCAACTGAGAAAGAGTCAATGACGACAATCACAAAATAAGTAATTCAGCATTTTAAAACAGATGAAAACAGCAGCTGCATTTCAATATATCCTTACCATCTGCTTACGCTGAAGCAGTCTGTTCGTCATGAACTTCCTGGTTCTGATGGTCACTGTGTCGTTCTATGGAAGTGCAAAACACACACATTAATGCACACTAGCTTACAGGTCATATGATGTTTAATGTGCTCAAGATTTCATATGCCATTTTGAATAAATTTGAGCACCAAGCTGCAAAAGCTACAAGTTGGCACTGCAGTCACAGCCAGGCATAAAGCAATGTTCCCCCTTACCCACCCTAGTCAGAAGGAAAGAAAAAGAGCCCTGATTTTTTTGTATAGCTGCAGCACTGGAAACAAACTTGACCCCTACCCCTGGGAAACCAATGCCCAAACCAGGTTTGTTAGAGGCAGCTTAGAGGCTCATTTGCTTCTAAACCACATAAGTCGCTAGGGATTGAAGCCCGTCCCCCACCCCGGCCAGGCGCAGCCACGGCCTGCACAGCTCGGGCTCCCGGCCAAGGGAGCGGGCGGCCGTTCCGAGCCGGGAGGCTAGAGCCACAGGACGCGCCGCACAGCGCGGGCTCCCGGCCCGACCCAGAGAAGGCGCCCGGGGAACTGCAGTACGAAATGAGCTGAGCTGGGCTGGGCCCGGGACGCAGCGTGTCGGGCGGCGGGGCCCGGGCTCCCCAATGCCGGTGCAGGCGGCCCCTGAAGGCGGGCGCGGGGCCGATTCGCAAGCGGGGCCGCTGGGTTGGGCTAGATGGCGCCAGCCCGGGGTGGATGGAGCTGCGGCCTCGCGAGCGCTCACCATCGCGGCGATCTACACTCCTGGCAGTCGAGAAAGAAAGAAAGGTGGCAGCGCAGCCAATCATAAGCCGGCGCGTGGGGCTTTGCGCGGCCGGGGCCTCGCCCGGGGTGTCTACTATACTGCCTGAGTGAAAGGGCTGCAGGGAGGCGACCGTGCTAGTGCCTGACTGAAAATACTGGGGCTGGAGCAGAGCGGGAGGTGGGGGTGGCCTTGGTGTTTGCACTGCCCTTGGTGTAAGGGAGGGCAGAGAGGGAGGTGGGGGTCGCTTGGTGTTTGTCTCTATAACTGTCCTGTCCCACTTGTCGTGAGGCTTCTCATTTCCCTTTAGGCAACATCATGCTCACCAGCAAGGAGAGGCTGAAGCAGTGCAGGGTGCACAAGCCGAGGCTGGGGAGCAGTGGGAGCTGTGCTCAGGCCCCGCGTGAAGGGGCTGCTCCTCAAATGTCTAGTTCTTGGCTTGGGCCTGGAAGTAGGATGCCCGCTTAAGGTTTTGGAAACATCTGAAGCCCCAGGTGGGGGTGGAGGATGTTTGCCGGTAGTAGGGCCACTTATGGGTCTGGACTGACTCTTGGATTTGGAATTTGTTTTGGCTCATTTGGCTTGGAACACAGAACATTAACAAATAAAATAGAAAAATCTCTTCTTCTTGATGGTCCAGAGTCTGGGCACATTAAGATTTCACTTCAAAAGACACCCACAGCTTCAATACGTGGGCAGGTCTGGTCCCCAGGCCTCCAGGAGGGTGTCGTGGAATTAGAAAAGGCTCAAGACAAGGGCAGCCAAAATGAACAGCAATTGCCAGACAGACCAGAAAAGACTAAAAGGGCTCTTCAGCGAGGGAGGGAGGGAGGGAGGGGGCTGAGGAGGTCTCTGAAATCCAGAAGGGTCTGGACCAAGGGAACAGGGAACTGCTGGTCGCCACGTCCCAGAGCACTAGAACTGGGGGCATCCACTGACAGGAGTAGGTGGCAGGTTTAAAACTAACAGGAGCAAGTACTTTTATTTTGCAACATACACTTGACTGATGGGATTCATTGCTACAGGAGGGGGCGGAGGCAGGGATCACATCCAGGTTCAGAAAGGGACTGCATCGATTCCCGTGTGAAATCCGCCAGTGGCTATGGAGCATTATGGCACCTCTAACCCAATGCACGATGGATGCAGGGAGGGTACCGAGTCAGGGACATATCTGGTTCAGATCACTCCCTCTATAGCAGTGTTTCTCAGTCTGTGGGTTGCGAATATATATGACAGGATTGTGAAGAAACTTAAAAAATGGATCAACAAACTTTAAAAACATATTCTTCAGTAAAGGAGAAAACTGGGAAACGGTGGCTTTTCCCTCACAGGCTGGCTATCGGGGTTTACAGATAGGTCCTGGTACAAATACGGTTGAGAACCGCTGCTCTATAGCATCCACTTCTGCCGCTGTCCCAGATGGGCTACTGGGCTAGATGGGCAGCTGGTCTGCCCCGTAGGGCAGGCGGGCTGGTAAAGATGTGGGCTGTGTTTCCCTATCTACGGTCTTGTGTTCCCTGGACCAATTCCAACAGGCATGGCCACTGAGGAAGTGCGCTTCTGGCTCAAAACCTTGTACTCTGTATAGATATATGTATAGGGAGATACAGAAGTATAGATGTAGATACCCAAACATCTCTCGTTTTGGGTTAATCTATAAAGTGCAAATCCGCCCCCACCCAGCAGCGGCCGCGGTGCCTGGCGCTGCGGGCAGAACGGGTGCTCCCTGCTGGCAGGCTGACTCAGGACCGCGCTGCCGGGAGGCTGCCCCGGCCCGAGGCCCGCCCGCTCCCCCAGCACAAGCCGGGCTGGCTCGCGAGAGCGGGACTCCGGGC